GGACTACGTACGGGAGTGGGGCCTAGTAGGGAGTCGACCTCGAGAGAGAGGAGAGAGCAAATGAATCACGCCCTGGCGCGCCTTTCCCGCGAAAACGCGGGAACTATATTTTGATGCGGCGATTAATACGACAGTGTCGTTGATGGCTAGCCATTTACCCCGCGCGATTTTCCTACCTCGTAAATTCCACTGGAAATGTGTGAGGCTCCACCGCGGCCCGGCCCAGCCCCGCCGCACACACAAACCTCCCCTATACGGCGCGCTGCGTTCGAGAGGGGCAGAGCGCTCTACCCGGGCGGGGGACGGGCCGGGGGTGGTGCAGTGGCGCCCCGGGAGCGCCGCCCCGCACGCGGCCCCGACAGTTCCGCGCGGTGCAGTGCACCAGCCGTGGGCACTGCCATGGGCATGGCGGCGCATGGCGGCCACCGCCCGTACAATCGTCGGCCATGAGTTATTGAAGTCCACTGCGCCCCATTATATCACGGCGGGGTGGGGTGGGCAGGGAGGGGGAGGGGGCGCATCGCCATACTGCGGACCGCATTCCAGCGGGACTGTGCGAAAAGAGAAGGGGGGAGGGGGGAGGTTCTATGATGTCCAGCCTCTGAATTCGCTATTCAGTCATGAAAACGCCAACGGTGTAGTTATACAAAGAGCACTTTATTCCAGATCCGCGCCGGAACATCACGAGGTTGATGGCGGAACGTTATATCCACGTTGCGCGCACAACTGTTCGGTTAATTAAAAAAGTTTTGCTCCGCATGCGTCGGCGACAATCTCCGGTCCGATCCGACGCCCCCCGATGAGTCGGCGGCGCTCACACTTCCCGGATGACGGGCTCGCCGTCCAGCTTGGTGAGGTTTGGGAGTCTCTTGACCACCTCCGCGCGGTACATGGCCTCGTCCGTGTTCTCGTGCAGCGGATTGCCTACAACGTGGAACGGACTGCGATAGTAGGAGACGGTGGCTTAAGAATCAAATCGAGACTCATAGCCAACGTGCCCTTTATTTCCCTACATTTTGGCGGAACACAACGCCAGCACTACTTGTGATGTAGGCGGCTGATTCGTCCCGCCTACGCCCACCTCGATAATTCAGCTGCACGTGTGGACGCGTGCAGAGTGGGTTGCCTACTCGCTCGGGCCTGCAATAAGCCATGGTCAGATACGACAGGTAACACGCTAAAAGTTGGCAGATGTGGTAATTTCCAAGCAAAACGTGCTGAGAAATCAAGGACTTCTGCTTGAAAACCAAGAGTCACTTTTACCGTGAAACCCACCGTACGCGTGCGGTACTGTCTAACTACCAAAGTGGGCGGGGCCAACCAGCCACCTAGTTCAAGTTTTTTTTCCTGCATAGTTTACGTCACATATGTACATGAACCTTCAATAATGGGGGCACGCCCGAACGGCACGCACTCAACAGCGAACGGGCATGATCCGATTGTCCGACTTACCCACAAATAGCAGGTCCTCCAGCAGAGGTATCTCCGACAGCCTGTTAAACTCGACCCAGTCCTTGACGAGGTTGTTCGACATGTACAGCACTTTCAATTTCCGCAGCACGTTCACCCCTTTGATCTTTTCGATAAGGTTGTATGAGATCCACAGCTGCTCCAACGTCTCGCCAACGGCCTCCTGACGACAGAAAAAAAACAGTGGCCTAATTACTCCCGAATCCGACCGTCCCATAGTAACTCACGCACGCGCGCAGCGGGCATTACAGGGCGTCCCAGAGACCCTGGACTTTTAGTGGCGCCGCAAGTAGGCAACCCGCCCGCAGGCCTGATTCGGTACAATAATATGACCTAAACCTGGGAGACCCTGTTTAGAGTAATTTAGAACGTACAAGGCCAGCAAAATTTTTAACGTAGTTCCTTCCCAGCGAAAGGATTTTCAGGTGTTTCAAAGAACTGATGCCGGCTATCTTCTCTATCATGTTTGTGGACAGCGACAGTTTTCTGGACAACAGGAAAATGAAAATTATTCAAACGATAGCGATCCCCGGCGACACTATGAGCGCCTCGAAGACTACACATGACCCACACAGTGATCCGTCGGTGGTGTGGACACAACTCACTCGCAAGCAGACAGGACGGAGAGGGAATTGTCCATCTTTTCGATGGGTGGCCATTGCCACTGTAAGTTGACTTCCTTCGCTTCGGCAATGTTCTCTCCAGGATGCTTGTCCTCCCAGCGCTTGAGGGCCTCTTTGATGGTCGTGGGCCGCGAGGTCTGCAAACGGCATAGTTGGGGAAGCAAGGGATCAGCTGATTAACTGCACAACAATCAAGAAAACGAACCACTTGCAGGTGAAACAGACCATGTCCGATGTGGGGGCCGTAGGTGCCTCTGCGGTGGTTGTTTACGCGTTGCCATGGTCGCCGACGATAGACTGACAGCCACGCCTGCGTGGTGGTGTCTGCGAAGGAAGAGCCATACATTCATTCAAACGCGGCTGTCACTGACACTGGCACAAAAGGTTTAATAACACAATAATGGCGTGTGGCGACTTTTCGTGAGGCTTCGAATGTACATACCCCATACCCCTCACGTCCAACAACTGCACACAACACAACATTCAGCAAACGGGAGCAGCAGCACGCTCTGTTGGATCTCGTGCGAACTAGCAGCGGCTGCAAACGCGAACGAACTGTTCAAGCTTTTGCCTTCATCCAACAGATGGAGCCACTGTGCGCCTACGCGCCTACCGGATTTGAGTTGAGAGATTATTTGGTTCAAGAGTGACTTCATACTTCATGGTACATTTTCGCCAAAGATCTCGAAGATTCGCATCTGCCCGAGACCATATTTCATTCAGACCTAAAAATAAAAAACTATTAAAAACTTTTTCTGTTAAACTGTCTACGAAAAGTTTTCTGTTGGCGGGAAATGAACGAAATGAAGCGAGCAGTTCTGCCATCTTAACGCATTTTTGTACAGAGCAAGCTGTTGGTGTTTTGTGAGTGATTTCCAGCTGTGTACCTTCTATTTCAGTAGAGGGGGTGAATAAAAAAAAATCAAATTGTTTCTGAAACTTAGTCAAACATCAAACAATATTACACTTTTTGACAAACCTTCAGAAAACAGTATGAAAAATTGAAGGTAACAAATTTCATAATTCTCATATGAAATACACAACAGTTGGGTTGGATGGGATGATAATCAACCGCACTACTGAAATTTTGACCGACGTGAATACTCCACTCGTTTGTGCTTTTCAGTGAGGGTATTTCAAATTTTCTGTCGGTTTAGTGTGGATGGCGTTTCTTCAACGCCAGTGATCAGAGTCTGTAAGTGCTCTCCTTGTGTTAGAAATAGTTCTCTTTGTTTTGATCATTACTATGTCCTAACGATCCTCCGCGCCTAAATTCTGTGCACTTATAATTGTGAAATTAAGTCAGAACCCTAAGATTTTATTCTGCTTGGTCGAATTCCAAACGAATACCAAAGTCAATGAGATAATCTGCAATCACCGGTTTTAATCTTATTTTGCTATCTGCATTAATTCTACTCAATTTCAGTTGTGTCCCTCAACTTGCCTCTAACCCATTTTCCTCTGTTGATCTATTTATTTTCCCTTTCTCATAGGTGCAGCATTGCACTAAATTTTAAGGCAAGATGGCCTTAAAATACAAGTCTGGTGATAAGGTTTTTGCAAAGGTCCGAGGTTATCCTTTTTGGCCTGCAAGGGTAAGTTGCCTCTGAGGTCTCTGCGGCCTACTGTTAATACAATATATTATTACAAAAATGACCACTACTTTATTCATGAAATATTTTCTTTGCAATGGCTTCATTTACATTCATTTGTCAGAAGCTGTTCTACCTAAATAACTTGTCTTAGGCTTGTAACCAAGGTAACAATACATTTTTTTTTATTTTTCTTAAATCTTTAATACAGATTGAAGCATGTGCAGATGAAACACCCAATAAGATGAAATATCATGTCTACTTTTATGGAACAGCAGAAACGTAAGTCTCATTCTTAGTTTAGATTTAGTTTACTACCTGATCGTGAAATTCTAATTCTTTAGCTTCTCAGCCACTAAAAGAAACATGCTTTTGATGCTATCACCAGTAGATAAGGGCAATGTTGAACACATGTCTCTTTGAGAACCAGATTCATGTACAACATGGATCCTAGATTAAATTTTGGTGTTAGCCGACAGGGCTGAATTAAAAACTTTCATCCTGTGCGATTACTCCAAACATTTTTGTTTTGTGTAGTTATTATGCTATTGTATTATGCTGAATTATTGTTAACAATTTTCTTTCGTCATGATTCGGATAGGGCCATCTGTAAAGCTGAAGAGGTTATTCCATATGCACCAAACAAAGATAAATATGCCAAACCTCTCAAACGAAAAGGATTCAATGAGGGTCTGCAGCAAATAGAAATGGAAATAGTAAGATCAGTGAAGACATTCAAATCTTGATTGTAAATGACCTATCAACTATTAATTTTGCTTGCATTATTTTAGACTGGCTTTGCCCCTTCGTACCCTACATATTCTGAGAACACACCTGATACTGATGAACCTGAGAACGAGGGTTCTCTTGTTATTGATGAAAACTTAGCTGCCAATAATACTAATGTCCTACCTGAGAAAAAAAAGAAACTCACAACAGTTCTGAAACGGAAACGAGAGAGCTTGGACAGTGTTTCAGAGGTAAATTTGGAGGTGCTGGCTTTTAGACTATGCTGAATTATTATGATAGAATGTATTTTCTATTATTGCTATTTATATTTTCATATGATAAGGACTATGCTTCAAAGAGCAAACAAGCTCGCATGTCAGCTGGAACCCCAGTTGGATCAGCCCCAAGTGGAAGATCGTCTGTTGATGGGGATTCACCCACCAGTAAGGTGAAAGCTGTAAGCCGCTCTGGACGAAAGATTAAACCAAAGAAGTTTGCTGATGATGAAGAAGGAACGTATGACGCATATGAAAATGGATCTGTGTCTATAACTGGTATCCCTACAGACACACAAGGGGTTTCGGCCGTTTCTCCTGTAACATTAGCAAGTTCCCCTGATCCATCTGCAAACAGAGCACGCAAGTTACAGGTAAGCCTGCAATTGTTAATAATAAAACATTGTGAGAGTTTTCTAAAAGTACATAAAAGTTCTGTGTTATGACTTTTTTCTTTACTCACTTGATTGTTTATTGATTAGGGAACTGCAAGACTGAGCAATCCACCAACTCAGCATTCTCCAGGTAAAATATGTTTAAATTTTCATTACTGAACAGTGATTTAAAAACCACTTTATCTAACTAAATATTGTTTTGGATCTTAAAGATGAAAGTGCTAAGACACCAAGTGATACCCAAGGTAGTATTCCCAGTGATAATCCGAATAGAGCCATTATGGCCAAAGCGCTGTCGGGTCACTGGGTCCAGATCAGGTTGGATGATGAAAGACCAGCATCTTTTGAGGCAAGTTTAAAGAAAAAGTTCTCCTTTTTGTATCATGAACTTTATGCAGTGTTAAATATTTTACAATATTTAAATTTATTCTATTGTGTTTTAATATAGAGTGAGGAAGCAAGGAGGTTGTGGGATGCTGCAACAGCACGCAATGCTGAACGTCTCAGAACTCAAATTGAACTGGGAGAGTATCTTCCAGATACTATTAAGAAACAGTTAGAAGGAAAAGCTGAATTGACAGATGCTCAAAAGAAAGAATTGAAGAAAGAAAGTGAGCTAGCTCGTAAAAGAGGAAAGCTCAGGTAACATTATCTTCATTTAAAAAAATAAAACAAAGGTTATGTTTGGTTCAATACAATATAAAGAAATGTGTTTCTCTTCTATCTAGATGGTTGAAACAAGAGGCACGCCTGTTGGAATTAGATGCCCTTATCAGATCCTCTCTAGGTCTGGCAGAAGCTGACGCAAGGAGATGCTTGGAACTTATGGAACAAATGTTAATCGTGCCTATTGATCCTTTAATGTTGAAGAAACATCCTAATATTGTGGAAACAGTGAAAAAGGTATCTTCTGCTTTAATTTATCAAGTCTCTTACAGTCTGCATTGCATTAGGATTTTGGTCTTAAAGTTATCATTACTTTGCTTACAGTTACAGAGGTACATTGGCAATACTTCAAAATGGGATCTTACGGATGAAGAAATGGTAAAAAATTATTACGTGACTTGTATTAAACCTCATCGTTTGTTTTTTTAAAAATTAGTTCTCAGTAATGTTTGTGATAAATTATTTTTTGCAGGAAAAGTTCAACGCAAGTTGTGATCAGATAAGACTGAAAGCTAACCATATGTACCACAAATTTAAGGTAAACAAAATTTATTTTTGGTTTCATATTTGCTCCATGGGCAATTCCAGAATAAATTGTAAAAATTGTGGGTACATTACGCGATTTGTAACTAACTGAGAGAAACTACGTTGTTTTGCCCATACTCGCTATCTGAAGACGCGTCTAGTCATGTTTTGTACAAAACCATTGCGCCGCCTCTCAGCTGCCCACAAGTTGCGTGGTGTACGGACACCCCTTTCTGGAATTGCCTCTATCTAAGACATTAAATTGACATGCTCCTCAAGGCTTGCAAAATAATCAAAATAACCACACCACCGTTTAGTCTCTGCTCTGATGGCAGTTTACAACTCAATAGAACAATTGCTAGGCCAAGACCAGCACTTTGTTTTGTGTGGATTGTTTTCCCTATGTTGTATAACTGTCCTAAGTTTTGTGCTTCATTGTACCTTTGGATTTCATGTTCATTTGCATGCCTTTCTTTCAGAAATTGTTTGCTGTCCCAAACAACACATCTTTCTGGGAGATTTTCCATCAAGAAGTTGAAAAGTTCAATGAGGCTGTGAAGCATTTGCCAAGAGATCAGGTTTATGCTCTTGTTGTAGATCCTGAAAGTAAGTAGTTTACTGGCATACTAACATAAATTATTAGTACCATGCAGATGTACTCCCAGGTATTTATTTATTCATTTTTAATAATCTGTTTCTTTGTGTGTGCCTCAGAACTTAACTTTATGGATGAATCAGAGGATGATGAGAAAGAGGATTCATCAAGTAAAGAAAAGTCTCACAAAAGTACTAGAGGGAAAAAAGCTACTTCTGCCCATCTTGAATCATCTACAAAGAGAGATGAGACAGGTTATACATCATGATATGTTCAAATTACTCTAATCTAAAAAGTATAGATCAATATGTTTGACATCATCCATTCTCAATTTTCAGCAACGTGAATATTTCAAGGAAGACAACCAGTGCAGTACTGGCATTGGCCATTACTGTTTTCTGAAGGATTGTTTGACTAAGTGGTCTTATATTCTTGTGGGCTGCTACAATGAAGTTTTTAATTTATCATTGAAGTTGTGGCATGGTTAGAGTGGGTGCTAATTGGAAGGTTGCCAAGAACTCACATTTACTTATCTTCCTCTTATATTTTCCTCATCCCTGATATGATTTTCTTCGTCAAAGATGTATTCATATTTTGTAATTAGTTTGCTTTACTCGCTTCTTTTTCTCCCTAATGTTATTTTATTTGTCAAGGAGTGTAGCTCCAGACCCAAAAATCCAGATGTCTCTTTTATATTTGACACATTGAGTTTAGAAACTTTTGACGTGATTGTGTCAGTACCTTGTGGCACAAAGGAGAGAAACAAATTCTGTGGAACTGAACTTTGTGTGCCATTGAATTTTGTCATTTTAGTCTTGCTAATAATGATTTAGCTCTAAAATTTGTGAAACTAGAATGACCATATTTTTTTTCTTTTTATGCACTTTAATAGCAATGAAAAGAGTATGGTTAAATGTCTGTTACAACCTCTGCTCCCTGAATGTGTTAAGTATCACTTTTTAATAAGATCTTTTACCGTAATAGTTTTGCATGGTTACTGAAAATTAGATTGAAACTGCTATCCCATCTCTTTTGTTGTCTTTTGTTTCTGCTCCTTTAGCTTATGATTATGAAATAAGTAGCTATGTTGAGAGTACAAAACTCATACAATAAAATCTATGTTGATTGTAGAATTCTGATATAATTATTTTTATTCCTCTTGTCGTTTCTTCCCTACTGAAATAAGGTGTTGTGCACCAAAATCGGGCAGATATTTCAGCCATGAAATATTGAGACAGTGCTCTTTTGCTGAATTCCGACTAGCGTCATCTAATTTTCCTGCAGAGCATTGCCTTCCATCCAATGCGTGAGTTGGGGAGCGACGCCTCTCACGCACGCATGGCGTCGCCGCGTCGCACACGCACACACACGTACGGGGAGGGGAGGGAAAGGGGGGGGGGCACGTATGAAAGGACAAGGCGCGGGCCTCTCGCTCCCACGCCGCCGCGGCCGCGGCTCAGCTGACGGGGGCGACAGAGACGGGAAACATGGACAGGCAGGGGGTCGGGTCGTCAGCCCGGGCCCGGCTCGACACGACCCGGCGCGGCGCTCGTCGGCGCGGCCAAGGCTCGGGCTCGGTCCGCCGCGGCGCTGTTCGGCGCTGCTCGGCTCGGCTCGGCTCGGCTGGTTTCAGTCACTGGCAGTGGACGACGCTGCGCCGACGCCGTCTGGTTGCGCCGCGAGGAGCTGAGGCTCCGCGAGGAGAGGCTCCGCGCAAGGCCAGGCTCGGCCAGCCCCTCAACGTGCAGCAGCAGCAGCAGCAGCTGTTCCTGGACCCGCGGCACCCCAGGGCTGGGCCCCACGGTGAGTCCAAGTAGTCCGAGCTCTTGCCCAGGTCTGGGCGGGGTACTGCGGTGCGTAGGCGCACTCGCGACGGGGCGCGCGCTGGCCGCGCGAGGGTGGTGGGGCTTGGTAGTGCCGGTGTGCTGTTGGTAGTCCTGTGTGCTGTCGCGCTGCTGGTGCATTGCCGCCCTCTTCTCCCTTCTCTCCAGAGAGCACGACTTCCTCTCTCCTCTTCATTATCGAGG